CCAGGCCTCGGCCACCCAGGGCCGTGGCTTGTCCATCACTCGCGGCTGCACTTCGCCCGTCGGCGGCACGAGCAAGATGCGAGGCGTGGGCAATGGCATCGACCACCCGCGCGTCCACGGCCTGGCCCCCACGTCCCCTGCCGCGGCCCTCTGGCCGAGCAAGGGGGTCCACGCGACGCCCCGCCGAACTGGAAATAGCCAAAGCCACTCTGCGACTCTGTCGGTTTAGCCGTCCAGAACAGGGGGTTCGCCTCAACAGAACCAGCTGTCGCACCTGCACTTGGCATTCCCGGCACTGGCGTAGCGTTGGCGAAACCACCAAGATCGCACACAACAGATCACTTCTCAGGCTGGATCTTGGCGCGCTTCTCCGACCTCAATCCTTCCACACATACTGGCAACTTCCTGGCGCTGCCCCTGACGGTGGCCTCGTCGGCCTCATCATCGATCTTGATGCCAGCCTTGTCAAAGAACTCACGAAGCTCGTCCAAGACCGTCTCTTCAGCGTTCGGGATTGGCACGTTGATTCCTCCTGGGTCCTCTCATCCTCTACCTCCTCCATCCTGCGGTGGTCCGACAGGTCCTGGCTGTGCTGCTTGTGCTGCGGCCTGGCTGGCTGCAGCTTCAGTCTTGACCTTATCGGCTGCCTTCTTGCGCTCCTCGAGTGCCGTGACCCCCGCCAAGATCTGGCCCAGCTTGGCGACAATGGTGCCATCCTCTCCCAGACCCTTGAGGATGCTGCCCATGTTGTCGACAGTGATGCTAAGGGACGCGACCACTTCCGAAGACTCCGCACTGTGCTGGTGGACGGGGACCCTGGGTACTGAGTATCTGGAGGAAGGCTTGAAGGATTGGGAGGAAAAGGAAGAGGAGAAGGAAGAGGAGGAGCATGGAGGAGGAGGAAGAAGAAGTGGAGGAGGAGGAGGAGGAGGAGGAGGAGAAGGAGTAGAATGGGGACGAGGAGGACGAGGAGGAGGAGGAGGAGGAGGAGGAGAGGCTGCCTTCCGCTGGCCTTACCTGCCGAGCCCGCCGCACGTGCGCTCCGAGCGCTGGGACCTCTCCATCGACTGGCTGGGGCGGCGCGGAGGCGCGGGCAATTCTCTGCTCACGTGGCTGGGGCGGCGCGGTGTCCGGCTGGTACACAGCGCTGTTCACGCGGTACTGCGAGCGCTCGATGAGGCTGAAAATGATCGAATCCTCACCCCCTCCCCTTGAACCCATTCCTGCCTTCCTCCCTCCGCCCTCCATCTTCCCGCCTCCGCTGTTCTTCTTCTTCTTCCTCCTCCTCCTCCTCCTTCTCCCTTGCGGGCGTGAACAGAAAACATCCAGCCACTCCAGCTCCAACATAGCCTACCGATCGCCCTGCACGTCTCTACTTCGCTGGGGGTCGACGGAATTGACTAAGCCACTTGAATCAGATCGAATTCCCATAAGGCGACACCGACTTCTGAGGACGTGCTGTTTTTTTGTTTTTTGCAATCCCAAGGAGTTTCTCCTCAATCTCGGCCTCTGGGGGGCCGTTCTCGGACCTCGAGGGAATTAAGAATGGACCTGGGACGGGAAACGAAGACTACCTTCTGGGAAGAGGTCGTCGAGACTTCTAGGGTGCGCAGATTGAGCAAAGAAATCCGTGACACGTCGGGGAACGGGCGATGAGGCGAGGGGCCACATGGTTTCGCTCATTTTGGGGGGCTTCGGATGTCTCTGGAAGCCTCCGACAGGTACCTCGGGGGACGATCCAAACCTCCAACTGACGCAAAACGGCGGGGGCATTTACCTCTGGGTCTGACCGTGCTGGGCAAGCGACCCGCGACGAGAAAACGGTGCTGGAGATAGGGTCGAGAGATCAAGGGGCCGGCGTCGTGACAAAGGTCATGACGTCGGAGGTCCCGGGGAGTTCTCGGCCCGAGGTCGGGGGGGTCGCAGCAGCGGGCGCTTGCAGCGAAGGGGGTGGGCAGCCTGGGTCGGGGCCGCAAGAATGCACTTCTTCAAGCAGTGGCGAAGTGTCCCGGCCGACCCACAGGCCCACCAGAAACTGCCCTAAGAACCTTTGATGGTTTGCACGACTTGTTCCCATAACGTTTCTCGATGAGGCAATCTTGCTGAAAAGAAGCGGCTTTCTGTTCCAAGAATATTTTTTCGGTGTTCAGAAAACTCGGTGAGATGTAACAACATTTCGTAGTAGGCCTGTGGGAAAACGGGGACCGACTGGTCCCTGCTCAACTACTTGAAGGGCTCCTTCCTCTCACCACACCGTGTGATCGCCACGCCGCTCTGAATCGCCCGGCTGACCCCCCCCACCCTTTCTCTGCCACCCGTCCGCCCAGAGTGCGGCGCGCTTCTCCTCCATCCGCTGGAGGCTCCGCCGTATGTTGTCGAGGTCCAGGGCCTGGGAGAGGCCGTGCAGCTCGCGCGTGATACAAAGCATCGGAGGTGGCCCATGCAACTCTCTTTCTCTATCATTTTTTGTTTTGTTTGTTTGTTTCTCTCTCTCTCTCTCTCGGCCATCGTTCGGGCGTCCATTCCCTGTGCATTGTTGGGTTTACTACGTGCTTTTCTTCGATTATCCAGGATGCTCCTCGATGGTCTTCGCCGATAAAAATGCACACGTCCGAACCAAGTCTTCCTCTCTCTATCCTATCCTGGGACCTCCTGGGGACCCACCGGCCAAATTTCCCAGCTGCTTCCGACGGTGGTACGGGGGAAAGCGGGCGCTCCTAGAGGGGCAGAAAGACACTCATAAGGCTGCTTTTCGGGTCTCTCCCGGGGCGCGTGCCGACCAGTATGTGGAAGCGAGTTCAGCGGTGGCGACGATGGATAGAAAGCAGAAGGCCCCCCTCGTAAGAAACATCCCGACAACCAAGCCGCTTAGTAAACGCATCCAAAGAAAGCATCGAAGAGGGCAGGGCTGCTTAGTAAATGCTCCGGGTCGCGTAGTATACGCAAATTATGGGGGGGGGGGGCGGGGTGTTCTTTCCCCCCGTGAATGGCGGGATGACAGTGTCGGTATCTGCTCCGCCTCTGAACCTCGCGCTGCTGTCGCCAACACGCAAGAATGGACCTGTGGTGCGCGGCTTTCGCGGGCCGCGGCGGGGCCATATTCAAATGGCGCAGGCCAGTGCTGGGGCCACCCCCGTGGGCCCGCATCAAAAGCCAAAATGGCGAAGCAGGGAAACAAACAACGACATAAACATAAACGTTCGGAAGTCCGCGTGGCTTTTTTTGATAAGGGGTTGGGCCCCCCTCCCTGCGCGCGAGGCGCGCCAGGGGCGGCGCCAGAGGCGCCCGCCGTTAGCGGACTCCAGCGTCGATCCAAGAAATCCGCGTGGAGTTCCGTTCCGAAAGTTTGTGTATGTCATGAATCATGTGTTACTCCCCTGTGTCGCTGGAGTGGCGGGCCCACGGGGGTAGCCCCAACGCTGGCCTGCGCACGTGGATCTGGCCTCGCCGTGGCCTCCGAAAACCGCGCACCAAAGGCCACTCCCGCCCCGGGTTAACGCATGGCCGAGGGCCCCGACGCCGTGGACCAGGGCACGGCGTCGGAAGTCTGCGCCGAGGAGGAGGAGGAGGAGGAGGAGGAGGAGGAGGAGGAGGAGGAGGAGGAGGAGGAGGAGGAGGAGGAGGAGGAGGAGGAGGAGGAGGCAAGGGCGGAGACGCGCAGCAACGGCGCGCGGCGAGTCGAGGCACAGAGGGCGCCTCAGCACGCCAGCGATCACCGAGACACAAAGTCTGCGACCCTCGTGCTATGCTGGACTTCTGGTAGAAGAACAACATATGACATAAATGAAGGGAAACTGGGACACACAAATAAATACACACAAATAAAATTATTCCCCATATTTTCCCATATTTTCTGGGTTTTTGTCTTCCCCCCCCATTTCCCATATGTTCTGGGAATCGCAGATTAATTGTGTCTGTGTGTTTTTTCCCCTCCTGAATAAACATGAACTTTCGGAGGTCTGCGCTGATTTCTTGGATCTCGCTGGAACCCTCTCCCCGGTGCGCGGAGCGCACGGGGTGGCGCTGGAGGCGCCGCCAGGGCGCTCCGGCGCCGATCCGCGAAGTCCGTGCGGACCTCCGAAAATGACGGTTTGTGCAAGTAATTGTTCCTCGATCTTGATCAAGCCAACATCTCCGAAGGGCGCGGTCTGCAAGGGGAATGGTTTGCAGCCCGTGCTTGGGAGGGTGGGCGGACCTCGACGGAGACTTCTGCCGCGCCTCGACGAAGGCTCATCAAACCTCTGGCGCGACGTGGTGATCACTAAGCCCCATCGGCGCCGATCGCAAACCGCACCCCTTGGCGGCGAGCCTGGGGGGAAGTGAGGGGGGGGCCAACCAGAATGCGGAGGGGCTTCTCTGAAGCCCTCGCGCCGCCTGAGAAGTTTCCTGAGCCTCCTCCGAAGGCGCAGAAAATTTGCCAGAAGGCCAGAGGGCTCCAGAGAAACCCCGCCTCCGTCTGAGAAGACCTGCCCCCCGGCGCGCCGCGGAACCCTGGCGTGGCCACTCCCATTTTAGCATAACGAAAGGTCTCGTGGGAAACGGCCTTCACGCGTGGCGCTGCGAACCCCAGGCGCCGAACGGCCGAGCCTGGGAGAGCCGCGTGACCTTCGTGGGCCGACGCAAGCTCGAGGATCCCGGAGAGAAGAGAGAAGAGAAGAAAGAAAAAAGAGGAGACAAGGACAAAGGACAGAGTAGAGACTGTGCCCGACCCAGCCCCCGCTGCTCGAAGCATGAGGGGAAGGGAGGGAGCGTCCATAAGTGAAATTACCCACCTTTTCTTACACCCGCCCCCGACATCACCGGGCATCCTCCCAACCGCCCTGCGCTACGCTCCCCTCCCCCGACGCGCGTGGCACGCTGCGGGGGCCACCCCTGATTGGCTGAACGTGGGAGGCGGATGAAAGAAAAGGGGAATGCTGGAAAAGGGCACGAGACGTGAACGTGTAGCTCTGGCTTGTACGCTGGCCTGCGATTCGCATCTGACTGGCGCCGCTGCGCACTCATACAAAGCGCTGGGGTCGCTCGTGTCGCATGCTGCCCGTGCCGAGACATGACAGGTTGGCGAGATTTCTGATACGAGAGAACTGAAGCTTAAATCTACTGCGGCGGACCTCTGATTGGGCTATTTTCGCACGCTGTTCGCGCAAAATTGACGAACTGCCGAGGCGCCTCAGCCGATTGTAGACAGAACGCGCGGACGAGAAAATGTTCCCGCAAGGCTTCAGCTGCTCATTCTGCTGGCCGTTGCACGCGGTGTGGCCGTGATCTCCTGGATCAGTCGCGGCCTCGAACCTGTCATTGTGTGCATTGTCCCCTGCGGTATAATTCCCCGCCTCCTGCAGTGTGCCGTCAGACTCCACGTACGCCGGCCGACTCCTCTCATTTGCAGTGCCACCTGAAGTCTTCAAACTGAGGTGGTCTGCGCTGAGATCTGGCATCACGCCCTGGAAGACCACCGCTTGCTCCTCCAACCTCTGGGCCCAAACTGGCTCCATCTCCTCCGTCTGTCTAGACTGGTCACACAGGCACTCGCCGAAGGAGCTGGCGAGGTACATTTCGAAAGCTTCGGACTTCTTGTGCTGGATTCGGAAATCCTCGGACGTGTCCCGCTCCCTCTTCTCCGGCCGAAGTCTGAAAGCATCTGGCTGCACCTCTCCATGCCGTCCTGCTTTACCTTCGAATGATCGCTGTCTAAGGTGCTGTCATTGACCTCGATGTTGGGCGATGGGCTTCTGCGCGACGCCCTCCTCGTTGCCTCCTTTTCGCCTCGGCGGGAGTCTTGGGGAGTGCATCTGCTACGCCCCCTAGACCACATGGAGGCCTGTGTTGCGGTAGGCCGTCTGCACCGAAGTTGGGTTCGCCCCCGCACCCTTCTTGGTGAGGTAGGCCACACCATGTCCAAGTGAGACTCGACCTCCTCCGTGTTAGCATCAGATTCGGCGGCCGGTACCCCTGCTAGGCGCCCCCAGAGCGCCGATGCTGTGGCTGCCACCGTTTGCTTTGATGCTTTCGCCTCCACCACTGCTCGCAGCAAGGCCTGAGCCACTTCCATGGCGCAGGCTGCAACGAAAAACCGTGCCACTCAAGACTCCAAACACATCAAAACAGAGGTAGTCTCGGAATCGGACACAGCTTGAGCCAAAATGGCTACGGACCCCGGGGCCTTCCTCCAGGACGCGTGCCCCATCCTGAACCGTTTTGTTACAGCCCCTTGGCCCGTGGACGGCCCCAGGCCCCTTGGCCCGCGGACGGCCCGTGGACGGTGCAAAAGCTCAGGACCCGTTTCCCTCAGGACCCGTCTCCTTCATGGCGACCATTGCAGTCGCCTCTGGCGTGCTGGGCAGCGGCGAGCGGGAGAAGCGCAGAAGCGGCACACGGCGAGCGGGGCGGACGCGAGGCGGGGATGCTACGGGCGCGGAGCGCCTGGCGCGCAAGGCCTGGCGGGCTGAGTGGCAGCGCGCTGCGGGCCGCAGGTCCAGAAAGGAACACCCTCGAAGGGCGCGGAGGGGCCCTGAGACTTGTCATCGCTCGGACGTCCATTCCCCGTGCATTGTCTAGTTTCGTGCGTTTTTGTTTGTTTGTGTGTTTTTTTCTCTCGCCAGATGATCCAAGATGCTCCCAGATGGTCCAGGCTTTCTGGCCCTGGCCACGCCGAAAAAATGCACACGTCCGAGCGATGCCAGAGAGATCTGGGCATTGCAATTTTCTCCCTCCCGTCGTGTTCGCCTGTAGATCCGACTTGAAAAATTCCGCAGGAAGATGGGGTGGATTGCACAGGGCGTGTCGCGGCAGCGGCCCCGGCCTCACGCTATGCCTTCCGAGGGGATAGCGTGTCGCTCCGCTCCGTGGGGCGGGAAGCTGGGGACTGAGATGTGGATAGCGCGTCGCGCCGCAGCGTGGTGGGCCAGAACCAGCGATGCGACACGCTGAGCCGAAGTTCCTGACTGCAGGGCACTGGTCGTGACTCTCTGCGATGTGACATTGGTTTGCGCAACGCTGGATCTGAGGGATGGTCGAGAGGGGATGCAGGCATCTTTGGGGGAGGGGAAGGTGTAAATCGAAGGCAGGATGAAAACGAGTTCCCAGGTCACCCAACTTCGCGCATCGTGCCCCGCGATGCGCGACGCGCGCTTAATCATCATCGCGCTCTCGAGGCCTAGCGCATTCGCGCCGCCCATGGAGAAGGGCAACCACTCTGACCCAGACCGCAACGCGCAAAGATCTTCGCGCCCCGCGGGTGACCTGGAGTCGAATGAAGACAAATCGGGAAGGACTGGGGGGTCTGGAGGATGCACCGGGCGCCGCGGCCGTTCCAGAGCGCTCTGGAGCGCCCTCTGAAGCGACCGATCCTTACCCCAGGCCTTCCCGAGATTGCCAAGGCAGGCACACATGTGTGAAGCGACCGATCCTCATCCCAAGCCTGCCTGAGGGTGGCACATGCAGGCAACCTGGGGGCGCACGCCGGCGTGCTCTGCAGGTGCGGGTGGTGGGGGGGGGGGGCAGGGGAGTCGGAGCAGGGCGACCCGTGACAAAGCGGCAGAATCGTTCCCTGGGCCCCTCCCAGGGCCCAAACTCACCAGTCTTCCGAGCTGCATCCAGCCCTGGCGACGAGGGCCCCCCCCAAGAACAACTGCCGTTGCCTCAACTCGCCCTCCTCTGATGCACGGTTGGCGTCGTCCAGCCCCGGCGGTTTTCGGGTCATAACTCGGGCCTCCGGCGGCCGCTCCCCCCCAGAACTCGGCGAGGCGCAGCTGATGGAACGCTCCCCTCGGAGGTCGCAGGAAAGGGGGGTGGGGCATGACGGGGTGCGGTGCCAACGCTGCAGACAGCGATGTTATCTCAGAGAGGAGAGGCGGGCCGGGCGCGCTCGCGCGCGCCGCCGGCTGGCTCTCCACGCTCACCACGGGTGCGCGCCCCATGGGCCGGTCACCGCAAGATCCCCAGCAGCGCCGCGGGCCGCTCGCCGCCGTCCGACACCCGCAGGCCAGCCTGGAGAGCAGGACCACCACCCTCGCAGTGAGCACCCCGACAAGCAAAACAGTTTAGAAAACGCACCCAAGAAAGGAATCGAACAAGGCAGGGCTGCTTGCTCAGTAAACGCCTGAGGCCGCTCAGTGAACGCAAAGTGGCAGGGACGGGGTGTTTTTCTTCCCTTTCGGCTACACGCAAGGGTGACCCTAGGCAAGAATGACCTTTGGTGCGCGGCTTCTGGGGGCCACCAGGGCGGTCAAATCCAGGCGCGCAAGCCGCTGTTATCGCATCGAAGCCATCGAAATTATGCGATTGTGGGGCCCCGCTGGGCCCGCACCAAGTGCTCCTCCGACGAACGGTCACTCCTACGTGTAGCCGACCCTTGACAACCGCGAGGGGCCCGAAGCGCGCTCGGAAGGCGTCCTCGCACCTTGGCGGCGCGCTCAAGGGATTAGAAGAAGGAGGCTGCTTCGTAGAAGGCGCCAGACTTACACCTACAGAGGAGAGCAGCGCCTTCTCAGAAGCAGGGGGCTTCCAAGAAACCCTCCCCCCTCCCCCAGCACTGAGACGAAACCAGGACGAGGGCAAATGCTGATGAGGATACGTCGAGAATCTCTGACGTCCCACAATTCTGGATGATGTTTCGGGCGCCGCGGCCTTCTCAGAGCGTTCCGGAACGTTCCGAGAGCGTTCTGGAACGCTCTGGAACGGTTTTCCTCGTCCTAGCCCCGCCCGACCCCTCCCCTGCGCGCGGCTGAAGCACCGCTCGCGGAGGCCTCCCAGGAAGCCCGCAGCGGCGACGAGGGCAGCCCCGGAGGCCCACCGAGAACGATGCGGAGGAGGAAGGAGGAGGGAGGAAGGCGGAGGAGGAAGGAGGAGGAGGAGGCGGAGGAGGAGAAGGGGTACCTTCGATAAGGAACCCAGGGTCTCGCGACCTATGGGCGGCCAAACGTCGGCCACCCACCTCGTCCTGAAACAATGAGGAATGCGGCAGGGTCTGGGCCCCGGGAACACGCTCCTTATCCAATGCTGCCGCCGTGGTGGCATCGGTACCTTTTCCTCCTCCGATGATCGGCTTGGAGGGCCTCGTGATTTGCTGCCGAATCCGCCCCCCCCGTCTGCGCGTGACTGAACACCGCAGTAGAAGGCTTCTCCGCGCGCTGCGGCAGAGGAGTCGGGAGGGGGAGGAAGGGGAGGGAGAGAGGAAGAGAGGGAGGGAGGGAGGGAGGGAGGAAAGGAGGGAGAAGGAGGAGGAGGAGGAGGTGGAGGAACTATTCAACGAGGGGGGCTGTGTGCTGAAACAAGAACTCTAGTGTGTATATGTAGAAGTTTATATACATACATAAGTACACACATCCATACATGCAGACAGACAGGCAGACATACGTACATACTTCCGTACACACGTACATACATACATACATACATACATACATACATACATACATGCATGCATACATGCTTACATGCATACGCGCATGTTCATTCATACATACATACATACATACATACATACATACATACATACACACACGCATACCTATACATACATATATACATACATACATACACACAAACATACATACATACATACATTCATACTAACGCACATGCACACATGCATGGGTACGTACATGTCATACATACATACATACATGCATACATCATACATACATACATACATACATACATTCATTCATTCATACATACATACATACATATGTACGTACGTACGTACGTACGTACGTACATACATACATACATACACACAAACATACAATCTTCAGCAAAACCGCCGCTTGACCCCACAAGGTGCATATTCTCTCTCGGCGGCGCGTCTGGGGCACACTCGACAACGCTGCTCGGGACGGCACCCTATGGACGAGGTGACAGGCCGGCGGCGCGGGCGGGCGTTCGCTGCACGGGTACATTCGACAACGGCGACAAGCAGGGACACGACATGAGCGCAGGTCCTATGCAGGAATATCATATGAAATTTGGATGTGTTGCTTGGCCACCCATGGCCAGCCTATGGATCGCCCTCAACGTGTCGGGGGGACCTCGAAACGAGTCGGACACCGTATCTGCTGCCGCGCGCTCGAGAGCCGCGATCACCATCTCTTCGCAGGTGCCCACCGTGAGGTCGACAATCGCCTTGCTGCGCGGATGGGCGAAGGAGTCGTAGATATCGCTGGAGATGGCGTCGTCGTCCTCCTCCCCGTGCTGCTCCTCCTCTGCGTTGGCGTCGTTCGGGTCTTCCGTCGCTCCTTTCGCGTACTCATTCAAGGTCTTCGCGTCCACGTTCTTGCCCACCTGGAGGTGTTGGCCGAATTTCGTGTAAATCTTCCGGTCGTCGCCACTCCGCTCGGCGAGTCCCGCAATCATGCCCAGATACATCTGGATAAGATGTTTCATGATCCCGCGCTCGTTCCTGTCCTAGTGCAAGGGCTCGTGGGAGACGTGTGACTGCAAGTTCTCGGTGTCCACCATGCCCGTGACGAAGTTGCGCTAGGCTAGCCTTAGCTCCCCGCAGTGGTTCAGACTGTTGTCGGATCGCACAGCGAGCCTGACACTGCTATGCTTCAGCGCGTTGTCGGTCTGAGCGGACGGGGGCGCCTTGGGCATGTAGAGAAACGCATGGTGGTCATATTGCGTCCTCGCGCTGAGGTGCTGCAGTGCCGCTTGGTGCTCCCTGTTGTTGGACAAGGTCTTGTAGAGAGAAGCGTACTCCTCGTGGGTGACGCCCTCGGTCTTGCGCATCCACAACGGCAAATCGGCTACGTGCTGCTGTCGCAGGCGTCTCGGGTAAGCGAAATCCTCGGACACAGCAGTGCTGACGGGTTCGGACGTGGCCTCCTCATCACATTCGTTCATGGCGAAGGGCTGCGGTTCGTGCGGCTCCGTCGGGTAATCGACAGGCGCGCCGAACTGCTCGCAGATTTTGTGGTAGTCGCCGCTCTGCTCAGCCATGGTCGCGACCATGTTCAGACACTTCTGGACGAGATGCTTCTTGATCGTGTGCAAGATCTTGTCCTGGTGCAAGGTCGCGGGCAGATGTATGCTGCAATTGGTCGGAGTCCACTACGCCCGTGACGAAGTTGAGCCGCGCAGGCGACAGATGGCGAGAGCTCTTTGTAATCTGTCATGCTGTCGTCGCGTTGCGTGGCGAGCTTGAGGTTGCAATGGTTTTGCTTGGCGGCGCGCACAAGAGGGTATGGGGGAGGGGGGATGGCTCTTTAGAAAGAGGCTGTTTCTCAGAAGGCGCCGGCCTTACATCTACTAACAAGGCCCGCGCCTTATAAGAACCAGGGGTGCTTTTAAGAAGCCCCTCGCCCTCCCCAAACACCCCTTCTGCGCGTGGCCGATCTGTTCAGGGTCGATCACCCGTGGGAGGTGGCGCGAAGAACATCGCATGGAGGGCGCACGGCCCTTCGACGCTGAAGTGTTGCACCGCGATGCTCGCCATCACTTGGACGTCCATTCCCCGTGATGTTTTGCTGCTCTCGTGCGGTACTTCTCGCAGGATGATCCAGGATGCTCCTCGATGGTCCTCGCCGAAGAAGACTTCGCACGTCTGAGCGATGCCAAAGATGTGGTCCTCCCAGTCGTTGGACAAGTGTCAATAGGCGGTGTACTCCTCATGGGATACCTCCGTAGGCGTGCGCAACCATACCTCGTTCGTGGCCTTCGCCCCCTGGCTGCGCAGCTCCATTAGGCCTGGCGGGGGGACAGCAGCAGCGCCGGCACAAAAGAGCCGTCGCCATAGTCATGCTCGATGGAGTTGGGCCTGCGAGCTCATCGCTGCCAGAGGGGGGCGCCGCAGCGGTCATCTCCGCGGTTGCCGTCGTGCCGTCGGCGCGCTGGGGCGCCGGCAGTAGCCAGCCAGTCGGGGCATTCCCTCTCGGGGTCCTGGGAGGATCGCGGGAGGGTCAACGCGCTCGGTTCGAGGCCGCATGTGATTAGGGTCTGGGCCGTCCGTGGCCTGAAGGAGGGGGAGGAAGGAGAAGGAGGAGGAGGAGGAGGAGGAGGAGGAGCAGGAGGCAGGAGGAGGAGGAGGCGAGGGAGGAGGAGGAGGAGGAGGAGGAGGAGGAGGAGGAGGAGAAGGAGGAGGAGGAGGAGGAGGAGGAGGAGGAGGAGGAGGGGGAGGAGGCAAGTTAGGTGCGCTCGCGTCAACATCTGACATCCTACCCCTCCCTCCCATCCCTTACCATGGCGCTGATTTTCTCTATCCGCGGACGCGTGTCGTAGCGGACCTGTGGCTTCGCGCGCGTGTGCGTAGTGGCTGGTGGTGCGCGTGCGTGCGTGCGTGTGTGCGTGGTTGTGGTTGTTGTGGTGGTGGTGGTGGTGTGCATGTGTGTGTGTGTGTGTGCGTGTGTGCGCGTGTGCTGTGCTGTGACGTGGTGTGGCGTCTTGGTGGTTTGGTGGTGGGCCAGGTGCGTACGTGCGTGATGGCGGTGGTGGTGCAAGCGGTGGTGGTGTGTGTGTGTGTGTGTGTGTGTGTGTGTGTGTCTGTGTGTGTGCGTGTGTGTATGTGTGTGTGTGTGCGTGTGTGTGTGTGTATGTGTGTGTGTGTGCGCGCGTGCGTGTGTGTCTATGTGTGCGCGCGTGTGATGTGGTGTGACGCGGTGTAGCGTGGTGGTGGTGGGTGGGGTGGTGCGGTGGTGGTGGCGGTACGCGGTGGTGGTGCGCGTGCGTGCGTGCGTGCGTTGGTGGGTGGAAGTGGCGGTGGGTGTGCGTGCGGCGGGGCGGGGCGTGGTGCGGCGCGGTGGTGGCGGGCGGATGGGCGCGCGAGAAAGAGGCCCGCGCTGGGGCGAGAACGCCATCCTGAACGACGGAGGCAAAACACCGATCCGAAAATGAGGCCCACGCTGCAGCGGGAGCACGATTCGGAACGATTCGGGAGCAGAAATGAGGCCGGCGCCTCAGCGAGAGCAGCATTTTGGAAAAACGCAAGCGAAAACCCAACTCCCGGGGATCCTGTGTGTAAAAGAACAGTACGCGGGGGGGGTCGGCTATTCCCAGCGCGCCATCAGGGGAAGAGGGAGAGTAGTATTCATATTGAGTAATTATAAAAGGAGGGGTGAGGAGTGAGGAGCGAGGAGGAGGAGGAGAAGGAGGAGGAGGAGGAGGAGGAGGAGGAGGGGGAGGAGGAGGAGGAGGAGGAGGAGGAGGAGGAGGCGGAGCGTGAAGGAGTCCAGATCCTAGTCACTCTACCCTTCCTCCCTTCCCAGTCGCGCCTGCTCCACGATGGAGTCGAGGGAGGCTCGGCACAACAAATGCCTCTGACGCCTCCGCGTTGGGAGACGCGTGGCCAACCTCACGGCGTCCATCAACTGGTCGGCTTGGGAGAAGGACAATGGAAGCGAACTCTGATGGGACGCTAAACGATGTGTGTGATAACACGCAACAGCAGAGGCCAGGGAACCGCCT